GGGGACAGTCCAGACGGGAGAGGATGGGGGGGCGCGGCGGGACCGGTGACAAGTGGTTCCGCGAACTGTCCACAAACCGTGCCACGGCCTGGGTACGTGGCGCTTTCAGAGGGTCATTAAGCCTTTTAAAAAATCTGTTTCTTGAGGGAAGATTCTGGAAGGATGAGGGCAGCGGCATAATTGTTCAGTCACCGTCACGTAAAATACAAAGCGACTAGTCGCAAAGCAAAACCGAACTCCCACGAACGACACTGACAACAAACCTAGGTGAAGCAGGGTCCCCGGGACCTCCCACGCCTGGGCAAGTGGCAACGAACCAGACACAGTCGCAAGACCTCTGTGCTGTCGGCAGAGGGGATCACCGGGGCCTCTGGAGTGGCAGAAGGCGTTCGCCAGGAGGCGCGGCCAGTCAGGAGCCGCTGCCGGGCGGGAGGGGGTGCTGGCCCTCCGCAGGAGCGCGAGGGTCGGAGGGGCCGGGCACGTGCAGCTGGAGGGACCCTTGAAACTGGAAGGGGCCACACTGAGGACGAAATGCCGGACACGGAAAGAAACTGAACCGAGCAGAGACAGGAAAGAAGGTCCAGCTAAAAAACGCAGGACCGGGAAGGCCTCGCGGGTAAGCGACGTAAAACATTCAGTCCTACACTCAAACAGAAAAGGGACCTCATGCAGTTGGAATAGCTACCCTGGAAACTGCTACCTTCCGAAAGTTCGAGAAAAACATGGTCGCGGGAAAATAAGCAACCGGAAAGAAAGAACAGAATAGCAGTTCTACAAATAATAAAAACACATCAGATGCCCGCGCCCACGGCAGATCAGAGCTGACACCGCTGTTTAAAAGTCAGAAAATGACATGACACGCGAACGAGCTGCATAAATCAGAGTTCGAAACACTTGCAATGAACAAACGGCGTAAGAAATGAGAGAAAAAACTCTCTCAGGAATGAAGACGGAAGTAAGAGAAACCCAAGGGCAAGTAAACGCATTCGATTATGCCTTGAGAGCAGTGGGAGATGCAAAGGTGGAACATTTTAAAAATTAAGGAAGGGAGGCGAGGGAGATCCAGCATAGAGATACTAGTCCCTGCGGAAAAGCGGGAAGAGGGAACAAACCCTACAGACTGCTTCGAGAAAACTTCCTTGAAATTAAAAAAAAAAAAAAAATCGAAACTACGCATCGGAAGTGCACGCTACACCTGAGGGGAGGGACCTAGAATTATCGACCCTAAGACGCTTCCTTGTCAAACTACTGCCTTTTAAAGGAAAAGACAATTTCTTTGGGTGTATGGACGAAAAGAGCAGATGACCTTTAGTCGAGAAAATGAGATTATCGTCAGACTTTTTGGCAGCAATCCCAGAACGAAATGGAGCGACAGGTTTCAGGTACTCGAGGAAGAAAATAAGACGAGAATTGCCATGACTGAAACACGTCGCGTATGTGTAGGTCTGCGAGATCATAGTGGGGGTGTGTGTGTGTGTGTGTGTGTGTGTGTGTGTGTGTGTGTGTACACACACCCCTATATGTATTAACCTACCAGTCTCCTTTGGACAATGACAGAGAACCAATTCATTATCTCAAAAACGGGCAAATACGTAGAAAAAATCAGTCATCGTCTGTGCCGTACAGTATGGCCTCTACCTCCGTGTAATCAAATAGTAGGTAAAAGGAATCACCTCTATAAAATAGTCTACCTAGTAAAAGAAAAAGAAATAGTAGGATTGGAGTATTACGATTTTCCGTCGCCTATGAATTAAGAGATCCAGGCATCGAGTATCTGCAGCTGTGGACGCCACCAAAGGAGGGACGAGTAGACGTACGTGCCCCTCGACGCAAGAAGCAACTCCACCCAGGTAAGCCTTGCCGAAGGGTCATACCTGAGCCGAGCGAGCCAACTTGCAACAACAGTGGGACGTGTCAAACAGCCCGTGAGCGTTCGACCCGTAAAATTTAGACTGGGGGAAACTTCGCGAGACACGCGGCCCCTGTTCTTCGACAGAGAAGGGGGCGCGTCAGCAAATGAGCAGGACGGGCGAGACGAAGCTCTAGTGCTAAGGGACATTCAGGTGATAAAAGTCCGCGAAATGCAAGCGTGGAGATTTAAAAACACGTCTGCAAAGTATTAAACCAGCCTCCCGTATCTGCCCCCACCCCCTCCCCCTTGAATCTGGCCTTAGTGACTCACCTGCCACCGAGAGAACTCACCGGAAGTGACTCCGCGTGGCTTCCGAAGCCAGGTCATAAAAAACAATGACGTGTCCTCCTTCTTCGCTGGGACACTCAGTTTTGGAAGACTGAACTATTATGCAGGAAATCTGATTTCTAGGAGGCCCGGCCACCTGGACGGACCGTGCACAGGTGCTCTGGTGGCTAGCTCTAGCCAAGAGTCACATCCCAGGCGACAGCCGGGATCGGCTCCCGGACGTGTGAGGGAAGGTGCTGCCGGGTGACCCCAGCCTCGTCATTAGTCACCTCCAGACACTGAGTCTCCCCGGCTCAAACACCGTGGAGTGGAGACTCTGGTTTATTGCAACCCGATCACACTGTCCTGCAAGAACTAGTGTTCAGGATTGTTTCCCAGATCCACATTGAGCGATGTCACGTGGGTAGCTTGGAATAGGCGCTGGTCGGGGCATTTCCCTGTGGACGTCAGTAAACTCCACAGATCGGCCTCACCCTGGCCGTGCCGTGTTTGAATTCCTGGCCCACGCGGCCGTGAGCATCATAAAATCGATATTTCAAGCCCCGCCCCCAGTGCTGGATTCATTGTTTGACAGCGACAGCGGTTACTTTTGGGGGCAGGAAGGTGGTCGAGAATGGGGCTCCTGAAACTCCTGGGGTGCCTGGCAAGTTCTGTTAACGTGGGCGGTGGTTAGGGAAGTCATGTTTTTGTTTTGTGTGGTTATCTGT